CTTTCCCTATACACCTAAGAATAAGTATAATTTTGCAAAAGAACTTGTTTCTTGGTTATTAATCTGCTCCCTGCAGGTTCATAGGCTTAAATTCCGTCTTACTGGAAATTAATTTTGCTGGGACATTATCACACATTTAGATGCTTCCAATTTTTGGCTTCCTACATACCTATAAAGTTGTACCTCCATTTTAGGAGATAGCAGTTGTAGAGTGAGTGGTTGGATAACTTTATTGCCAGTTTTGACCAGCGACCATGCCAAAACATGCTCGTCCACTGGCCTCCATTTGATTACATGTACATATCTCTCTGACTGACATATAGTCTTAAGTTAGTTGGCACATGGTTGGATCAGTCTTTCTGGGCTATATTTTTCTAGGTGTTTCTTTCTTTAGCCTGAGACTCAGCTGAAGTCCAAATCAATGATTTTTTTAAAAATGTATTTTAAATGCCAGTGTTCATAACAAGCCATACTTTCAGTTCCCTTGCAGTTTTAGATTCTGTTTGCCATAAGCCTCCGTGTCCAATTCCTAAAATCTAGTTCTTTCCAGACCTGAAATCTAGACCTGAATTACTGGGGCCCTTCCACTGCAGTCTGGTGCAGTGTTATTCCAGTCTAAGCCTGGGTCTGCTGCTTGCTGCAATGTCCTCCCACACTCGCCCCAGACCCGGAAGCGGAGAAGGGCCCCGCCTGCTGCCTGGGCGTGTTGGTGCAGCCACCATGCCTTCCAGTCCCATATCTGGTGACAAGTTCCACAGCTCCTGATCCCATGCTGCCATGAGCATGCTGACTTGGCAGCCCTCCAGTTCTGGGACAGACGGGTGCCCTAGGGGATTGCTTAGATATGCCTTGTGGATGGGATGGCTCTGGCTCATGCTGGAGTTTTTGAGTGTTGTGATTTCTGACATCAGATTTATGCCTATTTAATCTTTTGCACGGGGATTGACCAGTTTGTCAGATGTAGAGAGTGGAAGGGCATTGCTTGGCACTCGATGGCATATATCACCCTGGGAGATGAACAAGTAAATGAACCGGAGATGCTGTGGCTGGTGTTGTTATTAG